GTGTGCTCATCACGTAGACTTTCAGCACTGGCCGTGACGACAGCCCTGTCACCGCCTCTCCCCTGCTCATGCAGCAGGGATTCTGATGACAGGGCGGCAGGCTGACTCCACCCCGGCCGCACGGGCAGATCACCCGCGACTACTCCAAGTTTACTCAGTGCCATGTTGTAAAAGTCAGGAGCGCAGGACCTGACCTGGAGACGCCAAATCCCAAGGCCTCTGATTGCTTCATTCCAGCTCATGTCTCCATCTGCTATATATCTCCCAAGTCAGTGACCTCCTTGGGGCAGCCCAGCCCCTCTCACCTGCTGGTCACCTCCTAGGGTCTCTACACTGCAGCCTGGGGGGACTTTCCAGAACATGAAGCTGACCATACCTCTCACCACCTCAAATCTTTCATGACTCCTCGTTGTTATGACCGATATTCCGGTGTGTCTCACACCAAGCCTTTGGTCTGAGCCCAGACGACAGTTCGGCCACGTCCTGCCATGCTGCGTACCCTCTGTCATTTATCCACATGTGTCTCCCTGAGACGGAGAGCCCCTGGCTCCCCAAGAAGGGAGGTCTGCCTGCTGCCCACCATCTGGGTGCCACTGTCTCGTGCCTTACACGCAAGTAGTCGTCTGAGGCCTGTCCAGCCTCTTCCCTCCTCCTCCCTGCGACATGAGCTCAGTTGACCACTGTATAGAGTGGTCAGTCTACCATAGGAACTGCCCCATTCTGGGCCCTCCCTGGTGGCACAGCAGGTTAAAACACAACACTAAGGAACTGGCCCATTCACTGTTGAAGGCAAGAAGGAATGAATACACATACACATACACACACTCAAACACAGACATACATACACACGACAGCACAGCCACACATCATAGCATAGCCAGGCACGTGTGGTGACGCTTCTGTGCTCAGAACCCTCCTACTCCGTCCATGTCCAGGCCTTGCTGGGGCCTTTGCTGCTAAGAGCAATTCCAGCCCCAGGTGGACTCAGCAGCCCTTACCGTCAGCCTCAGCTCCCTTCTTCTCAAAGGCCACTCGCAGACGCTCCAGCACCACGCTGTCACTGGAACCTTCCAGCCGGGCCTCCTCATCCAGCACCCAGAACAGGCCTCTGGCCTCGTCAGCACCTCCTCCAGCTGGCAAGCGGACCTGGGGGGAGATCCAGGAGGCAATGAAGGCCCTGAGCCCCGGCAGAGGCCAGCTCTGAGCCTCTCTTCCCACCCGTGAAGTTGGGTGCTTTGAGGCCCAGGCTTCATGGGTTAGGCACACTGGCCAGGCCCAAGCCCCTGCTCCCCCATGTTCCCACTCACCCCAGATGCTCAGCAGTGAAACCACGAAATTCTCACAACAACCTCAGTTCCAAGGTCTGAGCCCCATATCTTTTCTCTGTGTGCTATGTGACTTTGGGCAGCTTGCTGCACCTCTCTGAGCCCCATTCCATGGCCGAACCTCCCTCAGAGGACAGTAGTGGGAGTTCAACAGGGGGAAGGCACACTGTAAAACACACGTCTCTACATACACATTTCTAGCTAGTCTCTCGCTCAGCATAACATGAAAGGATCCCTTCCAGACACATCACATCCTCGTAGAGGTCTTTGTATTTTATTTTTTAACTAAAATCATCTAGCGATTAAAAAAATAATAGCAGTCAAAGGTGGTGTTACAAAAGGTGAACATGGTTCAAGAGCAGACAGAATTTCAAACCCAGCCGTAAGTGCTGGGGCCCGTCTAACAACCTTGCATTTTGCACACAGGAAACCCAGAGGAGTCTGGGCCTCGAGGGGCTTATCCGAGAACCCGCGATGAGTCAGCATAACCCAAACCAGTGCCCAGTGGCTATGGAGGGCTGTGATGCCTAAGGTGGCCAACTGGCCCAGTGCCTGGGACCCAGAGCTTCCCAGGCCGGGAGGAGTTTGGCACCCTAAAGCCAGCAAACTCGCAGCAGACCAGCACTGTCAGGAGCACTGACTTGAAAGTACTGGTGCACCCCTCAGAAGGAGCAGCGGGGACATAGCCAGGGTCCCCTGGAGAAGCGAGGGCAGGACTGGAACGGGGCCCCGAGAGCCTCGGGCCTCACCATGGCTTCTTTGCTGGGGTGGAAATCCACAGCCAGTCCATCCTCTGAGAGCAGAAGGCCCCAGCCTCAGGGACACCCTTCCCTCCTTGCTGGTCCTGGCCACCCCCAGGCCTGCTCTTCCAGGCGAGGAGGCCGGCCTCAGTGCAACAAAAAGACTAAGCAGGCGAAGGGCCAGCAAGGCACACAGACAAGTGGGCTTTGAGAGCACAGATGAGCCAGGAGAAGCCTGGGGCCCACTCCCAGCTGCGAGGGAGGCAGGAGTGAGGGAGAGAACAGACTGCTGGCAGCAAGCCTGCACACTGCAGGACAGTTAGTATGCGCCAAGCAGCCCGCTGAAGTGTAGGGGCCAGCTCTCCTGACACTCACGGCCACCTCAGTACCGGGACGTTAGCGTCTCCGATTTGGAGATGAGAACACTGAGGCTCAGGGGGGTGAGGTGACATGTCCAAGGTCACTGAGACTGAACCTGGCCACTTCCGCAGCCCAGCCCAGGCATGCGAAGGTAGAGTCTATGGGGAGACAAAGTCACACCAGTCAGGGCAGTTCCGGAGGGTCAAGCAGAAGTGCAGGCCTGGGGGCAGCAAAGTGGGCTCCTGGAACAGGGAAAGTTCAGCACCTCCAAACGAAAGTCCGTCAGTCCCCAAGGATGTCATCCCTCCCACCCCACTCTCCAAACCCCAGTGTTCCTGGTCTCTGGTGCACAGAGCACCTCTGTCTGCACAGCTGGCCCTTCTAGGCAGGTGTGGCTGGGGGCCCCCAGCTCAGCCCATAGACCCCGGATGCGTCCTAAGACACAGACTCAGCCAGAGGGCAGAGCAGAGCAGCCCACCAGAGGAGATTTCAGTGTCCCCTTGCCGGGCCATGCCCCCAAAGCAGTCCCTGCAGAGCCCCGGTGGCACAGGAGCAGTGCTGCTTCTTTTTCCTCCTACTGAGGTGATGTTAGCTGACAGCACTGTGTAGGCTTTAGTTGTATGGCTTCCTCCCTGACTGCATATTTCACACCACAAACTGTCCAGTCACCATCTACCACCAATCGCTCCCCCTCTACCCACCCCTGGTAACCACCACTGTGTCGACAGAGCCTAGGGTTTGTTTTTGTTTTTGTTTTTGTTTTTGTTAGGGGATTCAGCAATCCCTGGTGATTCCAGGTGTGGAGAGCTTGCAGAATCAGCAGCTTAAGCATGCAAATCTGCTGGTATTTCAATCAAAAGGCATCATGGCAGCTGAGAGCCTTGGATCTGGTTTGCTGGATGTATGTTACCTGGGAGGGACTCTGGTCCACAACGGCCACCGTGATCCCTGGGGAGGGCTCTGGGAGATCAAACTGCACAGGGACACCTTCCTGGAAAGCCATAAGAGGTAAAAGTTAGTTCCCTCAGTGAGCAGAGTGGGGAAGCAGGAGGACTTTCATCATCCCTTAGCCTTTTCAAACTATGTTTTTAATTGTAGGAAAGGCAGAGCATACAATGGGCATCGTCACCACTGGCTAACTGTGCAGCTCAGTGGCTCGAAGCACATTCACACCATAGGCGACCATCCCCATCAGCTCCCTCTAGAGCACTTTTCTTCCTATAAAACTGAAACTTCGGTTTTGTAAAAATAAAAACAAAACGAAACAATCCAGAAAATAATACCTGTTGGCAGGGGCCTGAAAATCCCCACTGAACACTGCCTCCCCACCCCTTTTCTCCCCAGTCCCTGCAACCACCATTTTAATGGTAAATCAGTGAATTCCACTGCACAAAGTATCTCTTCTGAGTAGAAGCAGACAGTGTCTGTCCTTCTGCGTCTGGCTTACTTCACTTAGCATAATTTCTTCAAGGTTCGCCTGTGTTGTAGCATGTCTCAGAAGCCCCTCCCTTTTTATGAGTGAGTAATAGTCCATAGTGTGTGAACACCAGCTACAGCACATTTTGTAATCCATTCATCCATCAGTGGGCACCTGGGTTGTTTCTAATTCTGGGCTCCTGAATAACACTGCTCTGAACATAGGCATACAAATACCTCTCCAATATCCTGATTTTATTTATTTATTTTTTGGGGGAGGTTTCCTGCCCCAAAGTGGAGGTACTGGATCATGTAGTCATTTTTTTGTTGTTTTGAGGAAAAAAATATACTGGTTTCCCAGCATCAACACCATTTTACATTCCTTCCAGCAGTGCACAAAGATCCCAATTTGTCCACGTCCCTGCCAACACTTGCTATTTTCTGGATGGCTTTGTTTGGGTTTTGTCCTTACATACATATAACAGCTACTCTAATGGGTGTGGAGTGGCATCTCATTATGGCTCTAATTTGCATTCCCCTAAATTAGTGATGATGAGTATCCTTTCACATGCTTATTGGCCATTTGTATATTTTCCTTTGGAGAAATGTCAGCTCGAGCTCTTTGCCCATTTTTTAATCGGCTTGTTTGTTTGCCTGTTTTTATCATCATCATCCTTTAGTCTGTGTGTGCAGAAAGATCACAGGGAACAAACGAGTAGCACCCCGAGATTGCTCAGGCTGCAGGGTGGTCTACAACCCCAGGAAGTTTGATCGGGAACTGATCATTCAGTACAAATTTCTCTAATGTTCACTGAGTACCTAATAAATCTGGGCTGAGTAGTGGGAGCTGGCGGGAGCAAGCATAAACTAATTATAGTTACAGCCATAACAGCTGCCATATAAAAGTAACCCGAAAATTCCAAAAGTATCCGTCACAGTGCTGTTTGTCACAGCTTAACCGTGCAAATGGCACAGAGGTACAACAGAGAGTCGAGATAGAATCAGACATAACCAATGGAGTGTAAGTTTACTAAGAGCTGTAAATGGAACGAGGGGATGTGACTAAGGAAATGCTGTGAGAAAAACTGGAGACAACAAAATTGTGTACACAAAAGGCCCAGAACTCTGTGCAGCAGCCAATATATGGAAAAAATGACAGAAATAAAACACAGACAGCGGTAACCGTGGTTGCCTCTGGGTTGTGGGCTAAAGTAAATTGTGTTTTCTGCTGCTTGACACTTCTATGCACTTTCCAATGTCTAATAAAGAACACGTATTACTTTGATAATCAGAAATAAGTGAAATATCACGGACGACAAATGGGATAGCTGCTCCCTCATATTGAATGCATAGTACAGATGAGGCACTTACTATCCTACTTCATTAAATGCACGAAACAGCTCCTTTAGGCAGTGTGGTAAAAATGATTACAAAAATAACGCCATCCTCTCCGCCTCCTTGTATCCAGCTCTTTGCACAGAAATACTGCATCTTCTCCCAACAAGAAGCGGAACTAATTTCCTCGACCTTGAGCCAGGGTTGGGGACTGGACTTGCTGTGACCAATCAGTCCGGTAGAAGTGACACTGCCAGATCTAACTCTAGGCCGCAGGGCCCCCACACACCTGGGCCGTGAGGACAGCCTGAGCACGGCTGCCGCACACCCGGGGGCAGAGCTGAGTCACCGTGGCCAAGGCCTGCCCAGATCAGCTCTGGGCCAGAGGACCCTCCAGACACATGGTCCAGCCCCCCAAGGCCCTCTGAGCCACCTGCCCCACCTGCGTCTGGCCACAGGAACAAGAGCTCCCACAGCCAGACCAGAGGAGCTGCCCAGACAAGCCAGACTTGTGGGCAAAGAGCCAAGGCCACTTTTCAAGCCACTGCAATGAGGTCGTATTTTATGCGCTGTTATGGTGGCAAATGGCCGGTGACATGGGAGTGTTTGTTGCAGGAGGGCATCAGTGTGAATGTCAGTTTTCCCACAGGCTGGTCCTAGACAACTGAGGGCTCCTCAGTGACCCCTCTCCTCCTTGTACATTCTACCCACTGCCCCCATGGTAGAAGCCATTTCCTTTTTTTTAAAAGATTTATTTCTTTATGTATACAAGAACTGGGGTGTAGGCCAGAGGTGCAGGGAGAGGAGGGGACTCACCAGAGACAGAGTGGGGAGCAGAACAGGCAGATCTACTAAAATCTACTGCTGAGGGGAACAGCAGGTGAGACAGGAGAGGTCTGCTGCGCCATGTGGGTCAGCTCCCTGGCCGGGGATCCAACTCTTGCTGCAGTAGTTGGATAGCTTGATAGCACTGTGTCTTTAACCCCTGCACCACCAGGGAGGCCCCAGTAGGAGCTATTTTCAAGGGCACGGCCCTGAGAATAAGCTGTTGTTGAGACTGTCCCGATAGAATCCCATTAAGGCCTCTGTATAAACTTTTCAGACTCTGGCAGGAGGGTGCAATGCTCTACCTCTCTCACGCTGCCAGCCCCGCTTTGTAAGAGAGTTCCATTGCCGATCTGCAGTGGTGTGCCCTCTAAGTACAGGGGCAGGATTGTGAATCAACAGTTTTGATGTCTCTGTTTATGCGGAGAAGTCAGGGATCATGAGGGTGACTCCCTAAAGGCACACAACAGGGACACACCAGAGCTGGGTGAGACCCCAGGTCTCACCATCATCTCTTCATGTGGTTGAGATGATCCATGTGGATGCTTTTGTGTTTATCGGTACATGGCTCCAACTAAAAATATGACCGTAATTTCAATATCCAGAGTCCGCCGCTAAACAACTGGCCATTTCTAATATTTTTCCATTAGCAACTGCTAGAGTCAAAGAGGTCCCCTTCGGGGAAGAAGGAGGGAGATCAGTGGGGGGCCTCTGGGGTGCTGGCAGTGTTCCACTCTTCACCTGATGCATGAGCACACCCAGAGTATAAACCCATCGAACTGAACACGCCTGATTTATGCACTTCCCTGTGCGATACTGTATTTCATCTTAAACTTTTTTCTTTAATAAGAAAAGAACTTCTGGCAGGAACTTGTCTGTGCAAGTGTCCTGCTTCAGACCCAGCCCTGGGGGGGTGGGGGGTCCTTGCTCCTCCTGGAAGGTGACCTGCAGCTTCCACTTTGCTGACTAATGCACATGGGAAGCCCAGGGGTGTGAGGGTGTGCAAACCCACAATGTTCACCCCACAACAGAGTAGGAAGGGCTTTCCATAGCAGGGAAGATGATGGTGCCAGAGGAGGATTGCTGTTAGAGGATGGGGGGGCAACAGGTCATCCCAAAGAATTGATAATATTGGGAGAAAAGCCCAGGGACCGCCAAGTTCCTGCTGGTTCTGGATTGTAGAGTATAGGGGATCATGGATACAAGCAGGCTGGGATTTTGTTCAGTGGTGGCATAAGCAAGAGGAAGCCCAAGATACCCACAGGGCT